AAGAAAAATATTATCTGAACTTTATATAATTTTTTTCTTTGGATAGTTGAGTTTTTACTCCTTTTAAAGTCCTTCCTTAGATAGTTCAGTTTTAATCCTTTAAAAAAACATTTTAAGTATTTTAAATTAATGTGAAAGCTTTTGGGTAGTTAGTGTTTTAAATATATCATTCAGAGATGGAATAATTACAGGAGATTGCAACCATAAAAATAAATATGTAAATAGATAGATAAACCTAAAGCATTCCCCAAAGGTGACTTCTGTTCAGAATTATCTAACATTAACATAAAAGTTAAGACTTTACTATGGTAAGGGAAACAAATTTTCTGTAGATAAAAAAAGAAATCAAACAATCAGGAGAACACGAGTCAAGGGTTATTTAATCTTTTACTAAGTCAGTCAGGGTGTGATTTAGAGAGTGGTTGTGTGCTAACATGAGCAGGCATCTAACAAAAAAGAGTTAATTGCTGTCTAATCATGCTTGCAATGGAACCAGTACACTGGCAGATATCACAGTTAAGCCAAATATAATGGGTTGAATTAAATACATTCTCTTATGTAAGTGTTATCAGTACTTATTCAGCCTCAGGATGGGAAAAAGTAGGTATGTCTATAGTTCCTCAATTTAGTTTTGCTTACTAAAATCAATTTAAATTGAATTTAGATAAGTCAAAGATATTCTCCATCACTGTCTCTCACTGTGAAGTTTGTGTAGAGCTTTATATGAGTTGCCATCTCAAAGAGTTATGTTGGCTTGTATAGTAATGGAACCCCAAAAAAAGAACTACCTACTGGCATGTAGCCAACCAGAGCTGGTTATTTAAAAACAAGATGTTACATACTTGGTGCTTGGAAACTTCCTTCAAATATTTCATTGGTATACTTGTGGGTATATCAATGTCTTTGGATACATTTTCTGTGTAAGGGGGGAATTGTCAGCATCTTGAGGGGTGACAAAATTTCCACTTGGTGTCTTAAGGACACCCTGGTACTAAGAGGAACCATGATCAGAGGCACATCAATAGGCAAGTATCTCAGGCTGGCTCCTTTGTGGAATTTTGTACATGCATCTTCAAAGTTGATCTTGCATTCCTGAATCCTCAAGTTTTTGTAACACTTTTTGTTAAAGACAGTAAGGTAGTCAAATTGGCCTGAAAATTCTGGAGAAAGTTTACAAACGCTAGTCACCTGGCAATTTTATGAAGGAGCTAAATTGTTATGATAGCTGCATAAAAACAAATATTTTCAATGATTACTCAAGGTATAGCTGACAACTGTTTGGGAGGCAGAACAACTGGAGAAAAGAAAAGGTAAAATGATCCCTTTGTGCGGAAAGCAGCTAACCGAAGTAGATCCTGTCACTAGCATGAACATGGAGACAAATGTCCTCCAGCCTGCTCTGTGCGAGCTTTCTTGTCCTGCACCATTATTCGTCAGGCCTGGAAGTGTGATGCAGCACCAGTTCCAGGACAAAGGACACTCCATTGCTTACATCAAAGGCAGTGGACTTCCACTGAGCCTGCAAATATTCTGACTTAAATTTGTCTCTGCTTCACCAAGGGTTAACCATGTTGACAGGATTGATGGCTTAAAAACAAAAGATACCAATCTATTAATGATGCTCTCATCTGTTTCATTTAAAATATTTAAGGAATTTGAGAATTAAAGGAGATTATCTTCATTCTAGTCAGGAAATATATATGTAAAAGCAATCTGATTTATAAATGTACCAGGTTTAATAAAATTCTGCTCTTATTTTAAACAATCTGAAAAGATGAGCCACTGCGGAATCAAAGACCCAAACCTTGTGTTTTGTTGATCAAGAAAGAGATGGATGAATTATTGCAGTGTTCTTAAGGGGAAAGAACAAAAATAGGTCTACAGTTGATAGGCCTTTCATTGGCTCACATATTCTCAAGCAATTCCTAATGCCTTCCTGAAAAAGCAGTGGACCCATGTAAGCACATTTCTTTCTAGGTTTTCTAGGAAGGGCACTTATAATAGTGGCTATGTGTTGCAAATTAAACTTGGAAGGAAAAAAACAGTCATGGCAAAAATTTATTTTTGTGATTATTTACTTGATGAGTTTATTAAATGTTTATCACCAACTTGCCCTTGCAATGGGAATTCTATACTTAAATATAATATCAGTAACACAGAACAACTTATAAACTTAGGTCTGCTCCTCAACAATGCCTCCGTTTAATCTAAATTATTTTACTAACTATATGGCTTCAGGCAAGTCAACTTTTGCTCAGTTTTCTTAATCTATAAAATGGGGTTGTCTGTGATAAACTGTGACTTCTAAATAGGAAGTTCTGTGGTTCTAGGAATTTAGACATAATTTAGGAGGTAATTGGAATCTATGGAAGGTTTTTGAGTCCTAACATGATGAAAGTCTGTCTTTTCAGTACTATTAAATTGACTCTTACATTGTTACATTGACTCTGCAATGATTCCGAGCAATTAAACAAACTCCTTATTGGGAAGAGCTGGAAGAACCGTTTTTGTTCCACACAGGTTAGACAATTTAATCCACCTCTGAGTAAAAGCATTACTGTCCCCTTCAGTAAAGTTTTCTTTTTAAATAAATAGTTTTAATCTTAACTCACAACTTTGTACATCCTTGCTTAGGACACATCTAATGCATAAAGTAATGCCAGCCTTTATCTGTCCTCTATTCTTTTAGATACAAAGCCCTGGCAAGGAAATAAGATCCATTAGGAGATATTCATGTGACAGAACCAAAGAAAAGCTCTTTGTATTACTACAACAGGCAAAGGCAACTAGGAGCTCAGGCTGAGACATCAGATATGTAAATGAGGCCACTGCCAGATTCTATCGATTGAGTCACCCCAGCCTGTGCTGGCTGAGTGTACTGAAGACCCAGCTGGGGATTATCTGAGGACATCTTCTCAGCTCCTCTCCATGGCTTTGCACTTCATATATCTTTTCCCTCGGTATCAGGAGAGACCTAGGAAGGAGATGAAACTCAAATTGACCATTTTTTCTCCCTAACAACTTAGATGAATTACTTAGTTGAGAGTTTGGAATTGTTGACTTTAATTGTCGTTTGGAATTATTTGTACATATTAGCCATCTATTTGTTTTCTCTATAACTACTGATAATTGAAAGTTGCCTACAGAAAATAGAATAAAAGTGTTCTTCTAAATACAATGGAAGTGGAAGCTGTTTTCCTAGAGAAGATCAAATGGTCTTCTGGGAAAATTTCACATGAGCAATGATTTTAGTTTCTGAGAATATTAATGATGAGATATTTTAGGTACAATTTGGAACTTTTATTACTAAAGAATTTCAGGTTATCCACTGAGGAATCTCACAGAGATGTTCCTTTGTTTTGAAGTAAAGCACACTAGATTATCTCTTTATGAAGTAATCTATTAGTCAACGGGGAATACAGAAACTTCTTATGCTATGGGGTGATCAAATATTTATTTGGGGGCTTTTGAGGAGAGTATGAGTTATAGGGTTTGCAGTATGTTTTGACCCTGAATTTAATTTTCCTCAAATAAGTGTGTAATAAAATTTTAATGCTTTATTTTCTGATGTTTGAGTATTATATTTTTACAGGAGTAATCCTGTTAAAAGCTTTGTACTTATTTTTCAGTATTTAATTTAAAAGGGAATTCAGAGCATGTAAAATTGTAGAAAAATGGAGAAGCCTTGAAAAAAAATAGAGTGGAGAAACTTACAAATAGATTAGAATTCAGAAAAACAATTGCAAGTTTGAGAAGTGATCAGTAATAACCAAAATATTTTATTGTGTATACATGTGTGGGAGAAGAAATAAGGCTCACAGAAGTAAAATAGGGAAAAGGTGAGTATATACAAATGGATGGATGAATCTGTGGTACAAAGGTGAACAAGTCCCTGCTCTACTGGAATTACAATTTACTGGTGAAGTGAGAAGGTGGAAGATAATATAGGTAAATAACAAACTAGAATTTAAGATAGAAAATAAGAAATGCAATGAACAGAATAAAAGGTTAGAATGTTCTGGGAATTTGGGAAGTGAAAGGGAGAGAGAAGGGGAAATCAGGAAAGCAATAGAGGAGGGGGCATTGAAGTGAACTTTGAGGCCGGGTAGGATTTTGAATGGGGGAGATAGCTTAAGAAGGCTTCCCTAATGGAAAGAAATGTGTGGAAAGAGGAACATGTAGGGTGCGTTTAGGCACATATACTTCATCCAGGTCAACGGGGACCCAGGAGGACTGGAACACCGTGGAGGCAATGGCTGTTGAGGCAGATGGGCTGGAGCACGGGGAGACGTGAACTCTAGGGTAGAGCAATAACCCCCTTCAGTAAGCAAGGGGGAAAATGGCAAAGGTAGGCATTAACTCGTGCCGTGACTTTGGAAGATGATTCTGGAAGTAGTATTTAGGCAGGAGTGAGATGGGAAGGACCAAACCTGCCAGTGGCTGAGTGGAACTTCCAGTATCCCTCTGAGCACCGCAGAGGGAGTTTTGCCAGAATTCGGAGAAGATAGAAGCTACTTAATTTTTTGGTGGGGGAAGGGTGAGATAGAGGCAAGGAGGATGAAATAGAGCAGAAAATATTTTTAAAGGTGACATTTGACAGCCCCTGGAGGGATAAAGAACCTTCTTCTGCTTCTCACTGCTATTGTATTGCCTTGATGGTGCATTCATCTTTGGGGCAAGTGGGTAGAATCAGAGGTGTTTATGAACATGACCTGGGACTTAAAGAATTGCATTTATTCAGCAGCTATTTATTTGGCACCCACTGTATGCCAAGCATGTTACACAACTGGAGCAATCATGAAGAAGGTGACATAGGCCTCAGTATTGGAATGGAGGGGGGTTGGAACAGAGATTGTCCTTTCCTCTCCCACGTCTTTTGGTTGAGACATGGCTCCCTGTTACTGGAAGTGTCTTGTGGGTCTGTCTGTATGTCATCTTCCCCATGAGCCAGTTTAAGGATTTCTCACAACCACCTTTTTTTGATGTTTATTTTGTGACAGATGATTCAAGAGAGCCGGTTTCTCATAGAAATGGCAGACACAGTCCAGGAAAAAATTGCACAGTGTCAGAAAGCAGGTAATTGTTTTCTGTTTTTTTGTGGGCTTTTTTTTTCTATTTGGTTTAGAAACCATAATAATTGTTGGCAGATTTTTTAAAAAGCTCTCTGTTCTTTCTCTTAAAATTAAAATATTTTATAGCATTGTTTAACTACGCTTTTAAGTTATACTTAAGTCTTTGTTTAGTCCGGAAGAAATCTAACTGATAATAGGTGGATTTTATGTGTGTATATGGGGTTGGGAGTGGTGTCTGAAGATGTCTAGAGGGCTGAGGGTTTCTGAATCTACTTTTGTGGTTTGGGACACTATCAAAACCTTTTACTGCTGGTAGGGAAGCTATGGTTCCACATGGCCCCTTAAAACCCACTTCATTTTTACAACGTGAACCATAATCCTACTAATCTTCTAGGCTTTTGCCTCATGTACTAGTCCTCATCTTAGGTTTTAGATATGTTCTTTCTTTAAGGGTGGGATGAGTCACGTATCTGTGAGTATACTTCTGTTTATGTATGTTCACCTTCATCCACTCCTGTGCTTTTGCTCTTGGATGCACATGTTCCCCTGTCCACACACATGATGATGGTTATGACCAGGAAGATGACAACAATGACACTTCCTTGATACATATGCATATGATATACTAAGCACCTCCACTGTCCTACTTAGTCCCCACAATGACTCTGCAAAGTAATCATCATTATATCCATGTGGATGAGGCACCTGAGGTTCTGAGAGACTGAGTGAATTCCCCGAGGTCCCATATCAACCTGTGGTAGAGCTGACCTTTGAACCCAGACAAGTCTAAATTGGCTTTCTTCACTGACTGCCCAACAGGCTTCGATGTTTCAGCCGAAAGGAAGCAGAGAAATAATAGTACCCAGTACTTAATGATGCCGGGCACTGCTCTGAGAGCTCTGTGTGTATTAACTCATTTAATCTTCACTTAACTCCCATGAGGAAACCCTCTTGTTACCACCATTTCACTAGTGAGGAAACTGAAGCCTGGAGAGTTTCAGGGACTTGCTCAGGCTCATGTGGCCAGTGAGTGGTGGAGCCAGGATGCAAGCCTGGGCTCCCCAGTGGTGCTCGTCACCAAGCTCGTCACCATTATTTTTGTGAAGTTAGCACCAGGAAAGTTAATGTGGTTTTAAGCTGCCTTAATAACGGTCCAATAACCAGAACCAGGAGAAGGGTGGTAAATTCCCACCTTTCGTGGGCTGCTTCAAGCGCACTTTGAGTACGGTATTCACACCTGCATGCAGGTTCCCACACTGCTCAGCTCCAGGAAGCTGGGCAATGCAGTGGCCCTGCCTGGATGCTATCCTTAAAGAAGAGTCATTAGTAGCCGAAACCCATTAGAATGTTAAATCTGGAGAACAGAAGACTCGAGGAGGTTTTACCCAATATCTTTCTCTAAATGTCTAAAACCCTACACCGTGGAAAGGATATTAGACCTTGTTGGTCTGTGTCCAGCTAGTACCAAGGGCTAGAAGTTCCAGGGAAGGAGATTTAGGCTCAATATCAGTCAGAGCTTTCCAAAGATGGAATGAGTATTCATAAGAGAATGTGATTTTCATCCCTGAGGTGCTAAGACAAAGGCTGAAGAAACAGATGATGGGGATGGCTTTTATAGTATTCAAGCTTGGGTGAATAGTTGGGCTAAGGCTTTAAGGCCATTCCCAAATCTGAAGCACTTGGGTATTTCCAAGAATGCTATTTTGTTAAAAGTCTTTTTTGTTTTTAAGTCAGCATGACTAATTACGGATTGTGACTACGTGGGTCCCAGGGCCGACTGTTAAGCCACAGGGATGGTTCACAAAGAAGAGTAAGACATGTGCACCCCTCACATGTGGTTGCTGTTCACCCATGACACCATTTCATGCACAAATCAGGAAAAGGACAAACAAGTGGATATAACCTTTTGGGAGAATTTACTTCCTTTATTCTCGTGTTTTTATCTACAGCTCCTGGCTGTTTAAAATGTAATTTAGCCTAATGCATTGATTATTGTTAGTTTGCCCCTAAAGACAGCTGTTTGATGGGATGAGCAGAATGACAACGAGAATTCAATTTAGGGATTTAGGAATTATGAGAGGACAGGAATGTGAAATTATATTTTACTGATAATATTTTCATAATAAAACCTTTTTTTTTGTTTCTGAAATTTAAACTGAGATTCGTTATGCATTCTTTTTTCAAAGGGATGGAGTTCCATGAAGAGCTTCATAATTTGGGGGCGAAAGAAGGGTTGAAAGGAAGAAAACTCAACAAGGCGACTGAGAGCTTTGCTTGGAACATTACAGTATTGAAGGTAGAACAGACGCCAGCTGCTCTTTGCCTGTATTCTTCTCTTCCTCCTCTCCCCAATGTGTAGACAAGGATCCCTGGTTAAATATGGAGATTTAGATTTTTAAGTAACGTGTGGCGTGGTCACCAGGTTCCTGCTCTAAGTATTGGGGCAATGCATACTGGGATTGACACGCTTTTTCCCTTAATAGGGCAATGAAGTTTGTGGGGGAGATGGGGATGGCCCGTGTGTGAGACCTAATTCCATTGCCTGGTGTTTGTGCGCATGTGTGTTTTCACTCACACGAACGCTTCTACTCAAGTCAATATGGCTGTTCTTGTTTGTGGAGAGAATCATGCCAAATGTTGCTGGGGAAGTTTCCAACACAAGCGGTTTGGAAGAGACTTGTACTACAGAATATCAAGGGCCATTTCGGATTTTTATTTTAAGAACAGTGCCTATAAATACATTTCTTTTTGCAAATAGCTTTGGAAGTCAGTTTCTTGAGATTACGATTTGCTCTCTGCTGCAAATTAATCTTAGGATTTTGAAGTAAAGATGCCACTTTTTATATTTTCTTACATGAAAGGAGAGAATAATTTATTCTTGACACTGTGTTGGAAGAAAAACAGCCACAGACAAGTTTAATAATTGCTGGCATTTAAAGAACACTTATTATGTGCCAGGCACTGTTTTTACCAGGTTTATATACATTAACAATTGTGACTCCAGGTATTGTTATTTACAGGTGGGAGAGCAGAGGTGTTGAAAGCTTACATAGATTCCCCAGGGCCTCTCAGCTAGTAAATAGAGCTGGAGTTTGAACACAGGCAGTCTGGCTCTAGAGCCTGTGTTTTTAACAACAGAGATGTTAAAACAACATCTCTGTTTTAGCAGAGATGTTCCATATGTTTATGTGAGAGTGCTAGGTAAACTTTAAGAACATTACAAATATCTATTGAAAATTTAGTCCAGAGGTATTTGTTAAGCCTCTACTAAGTACTGGGCTCTGTAATAGACATTGGGCATGCATGGAGAACAAAAGAGACACAGACCCTGACCTCACAAAGTTAACATTCTAAAGGTGGCAGAGGGAGAAGTGGATGGAGGAAGATGAGGCCTCATTTGCTTAAGGGTGGAGATGAGATTAGCACCTAGAGTATAATGTGGCAGTCTGAACCCACAGATATCTACCCGCACCTGTCAATGCGCCGATCACTGAGAAAAGTGCGAGGGACAGATATCAAGAATGTCACCCAGGCTTCCGGGACAAGTCTACAAGGGGAGACAGACATGTAGCCAATAATGACCATTGATTATTTAGTACTTAATATGTGACCAGCACTCAAGGCTAGGTACTTTAGAAACCATTCCCCTTTCTTCCTGCAACAACATGTGCTCACCCTGATGTGACTTTCTCAATATCACAGATGAGGGAATTAAAGGAGGTTTAAATTCTTGCTGGGAGTCACACAGCTAATAAATGACAGAGCTGAGATTTTTAACTCATGCTGGTGGTTCTAACCACTACCCTGTCCTGCCGCCTGTAAACTTCAATCCATATGGCTCAGTCCCATTGAGTCCAGGCAGCCTAGTGCAAGTATACAGGCTCTGTGTGCAGATTGCCTGATAGTAGTGACATAATCTCCCTGAGGGTGGTAATAATACCTACATTCTGGCTTTCGTGAGAATTAAATGAGATAGTACATGCAAAAGATCTAAGTCACAGTGCACGAAACTAGACAGTATATACGTGAGCTACTGATTTTTGTTTGTTTGCCAGGTAAGGATGACCACTGGAGGAACAAGGTTTTTGTTGTTATTTTTGTTTGTTTCCTTGTTAACTTCCGATTTAAGCCCACTTAGTGTTTTCTGAAGTAGGTTTATATGTTTGTTTGGTTTAGTGACAGGAGAGAATTGTCACATGTGGCTGAGGAAATTAGTGACAGGAGCGGATTGTCACATGTGGCTGTTCAAATTATTCCAAGACAAAGCTTTTAGAACAGGATCGATCTTCTATTATTACAGCCTACGTACTAGCTGCTGGTATTTCAGCTTGAGCCCTAGGAACTTAGACAAGAGTAGTGGACTTTTCCAGACTTCCAACAACGCCTTTCTCTCCTCCATTGTGTTTGGTGGGCCTGTTAATTAGGTATCCTTTCCCCACGAGCTGGGCAGATGACCCCCTTGGCATTTGAATTATTAGTTGAGAGACAGAGACTGGGCTCAATGGGAGACTTTTTATTCCAATGGCATTGCTCTGAGATGTCTTCCTCTATAAGAATCTTCCTTTAGTTCTTGTATCTTGGATTTGGCGCACTTAGCTCCTACTTGGTTCTCCAGTCTTGCTATTGATTTTCAGAGTTCCTCAAAGTCTTTCAATAAATGCCTCCCCTCCCCATGAGTTCACTATAGTCAATTTGCCTTGGGTACAATTGGTCAAATTAGTAATAGCCACCCTGGTAAGACATAATCACTGAATTATTAGGAAGGATATGGCAGAGTTCACCTATTAAATTATGCCTGCCTTCTGAAAATTTTCTTTATACATGATTTAGGCAAGTATTCCCCACTATGTGGCAAGAGGGAGTGAGAATCAAACAATACTGGTTAAATATGTGGGTTCACATTTATAAAAATGTTAATTCCAGTGTAATTTCCAACAAGTAATAGAGGAGCTGCGAAAAATGAGAAATGTGGCCTCCCCAAAATGGTGAGTTTGCAGCAGGGAGTGGTAGAAAGGGGCACTGGTCTTAGAGAAAATTGAGCTGTGACTACAAAATAAATCCTTTAGTTTGTGCTTTCTGCAGTTCAGTATTACATTGATTTGATATTAAAAATGACAGAGGGAGAAAAATTTTCAGACAGATGAATAGCTCTACAGTATAATGAATATGAATTATAATTAGAGTACCCCCATTTTTTCAGAGGTTTTAGGTCTTTTTCTTTAGCATCTAGCAAGGAGAAATTAAGATGGTCCTGGAAGCTCCCATACATGTGTTTTTCTTTAATTCATAGTCTAGCATCGTACATGTGTCCATAGTAGGGACTTGCTGAGCACATCTTTTACATTTCCCCACACTTTTGCTGTATGTCTGCATACAACCATAACCGTCATTTTCCTCTCTATTTCATCCTTTTCACTGTTGTACACAAAATTGAGCTCCTTCAATAGCCACCATGTTTTTTGGGATGATATGATGATGAATGTCTCCATGACTCAGTCCTTAGTACCTTTTCAAGACAATCACTGGACCAAGATAACTCTCACACATTAATAATCCCTTCCCTCTGTCTTTTCTCCTAGATGTCCTTCAAATTTGAGTTTTGTGTCTTAGCACGTTTTTGCTGCCATAACAAAATAATTGGCAATTTATAAACAACAGAAATTTGTTTCTCACAGAAATTTCTTTCTGGAGGCTGGGAAGTCCTCTGTCAAGGTGAGGGCCGGTTTAGTGTCTGGCGAGGGCCTGGTCTCTGCTTCTAAGATCGCGCCTGGTTGCTGTGAGGAGAGGAAACACTGTGTCCTCACATGGCAGAAGGGAAGTAAGGGCAAAACATGGCACAAGGGTCTAGATAGTTCTTTCCAGCTCTTTGATAAGGCACTAATCCCATCCGTGAGACAGAGCCCACATGGCCTAATCACCTCCTAAAGGCCCCACCTCTTGATACTGTTTCATTGGGGATTAAGTTTGAACATGAATTTTGAATAACCACACCAGGCTCCACTAGAAATCCAGTGCGCTGTCCATTATACCACAGAGCCTGCTCCAACATGAATTTTGGAGGGGACACAAACATTCAAACCATAGCAGTTTGGTTGTTAACATAATATTAAAATCTCATGATGGGAACTTTTCTTGTTCTTTAAGGCTTCTCGAAAGAGATACTACAATTTCACTTACATAGCCAACATATTATAGTAAATTGTTATTAATTTGGAGGAGTATTTCACTCATGAGAGTTTTGAAGATTTCTTGGGAGTGAGCTATGCACTTATGCTATATCACTGATAAAAATACTGTTTAGTTTGACTCGGAATTCATTTGAAATCTTGGACTCCATCCAGAGTGACTTGACTTTTTAAATAGAAAAAAGAACTTCATTGTAAGGTTGTAACATCTATAAAACTGAAATTAGAACCCAAGAGTAGCATTTTAGTGAGTCTTCCCTATATATATTTAACTTGGCCCATTGGCTATTTTAAGGAACTAAATTTCATTATCTTTACATTTTTAAAAGTTTTATGAAAAAATCAATTTTAGCAGGCTGGAGAAGTATCAAGTAGAGATATATAAAAATTAATATTGAATGAATACAATTAGTAAACATTTTATTACAAAGGAAAAGCCATGAAGTAGGTGATCACTAGAGCTTAAAGAAGAAATGAAAGGGTTAAGAAGTGGTTGCCTTCTTGTTCATGAATTTCATTGATTTCTAGTTGAATGACATGCAGTAAATGAAAGATGAATGAAACTATTACTTCTTCAATGGTCACTCCTATTACATATGTATTATGCTTTCCCTGGAAAGATTTCCAGCTTATAACTTACTGTATTCCAGTGTGTGCCATAAACCTGGGCTGCTTTTATAGATTTACGTTTAGTAGATATGACTGTTCTTTTTTCACCTAACTTTTTTGCTTTTTATCACTGCTTAAGCCTTTGCTCCTTCTGCTGTTAAACTAACCACATTTTCATTTTCCTTGGGAAGAGTAGAGGCTGAAGCTTCTCTCTTCTCCTTCCTGGGTTCTTTCTTGTGTTTCTAACCCAGGCAGAGTCCCTCACAAATTTCCCCAAATTTCAGGCCCTCACAGCTCTGAGGAATCTTGCCACATAAGGGAAGTTACAAGGATGCAGTAGAGTAATATGCTTCCTAATAGAGTCTGAAAACACCTTTGAAGTCTCTGTTCATTGTTGAGGGACAAGAGAAGAAGGGAGACAAGATGAAGAGCTAATGCAAAAAGAAGTATAAGATGAGGCATACTTCTCTGAAAGACTAAATGAGAGTGAGAATGGGATACT